TTGTCTAAAGCAAAATGAATGAAAGATTTTGTGCTTTTGTGTACAGGCATATTATCACCTTTTATAGTTGAAATGCCATTATTGTGAATAAACAGTTACCTATACTCATCTAGGAGACATAGCATCATGACATTTGAAGTCATGTCCAACCTTTACTCTTACGTAACTATTAAACCCTCCTGTTATCCTCAGATTTACTTTACACCCTTTATCCTCTGGGGTCAATTTGACCCCAGTAGTTCTCAAGACAATGATCATATTCCAAATGTTAACCAACATGTATGTCTCTGGAGCTTTAGGTATCTTAGTTGACTACCTAAATAACCATTTAAATAAAACATTACCCCAACCTCCCCCCCCACAGACCCCTTTATACATCCAGAATTCCTATTATGTGACTATCGAAAAATACATAAATCACCATAAAATCTCACTGACTGAAATAAAATGTTAAAGTTAGATCTTTTGGTACCACTTTACAATAAGACTACCCTTATAAAGGATTCATAAAGAGTTTATAATTAGGTTATGAATTAGGTTGTAAACACTTTATTAATCATTAAGAACAATTTATAAATCAGTTCTAACATAGTTCTCATATATCAACACAGGCTCACTATTTGGCAAGATGACTAAGCCTCATATTGGCTACTTAGCGAGAATCAACTCAGTGAGCAACAGATACCAAGGATGCTGACTAATGAAGAAGACGAAGTAAGCTAAGTAGCCAATATAAGGATTAGTAGTACAGATACCTGTGGGCTCACTATTTGGCAAGCAACCGGTCACAGTTGCCCTGTTTATCTCATGTCTTATTAATGATTTATAAAGTGTTCATAACCAAATTAATACATTAATTACAAACTATTCGTAAACCCTTTATACAGTAAGGGTGGTCTTATTGTAAAGTGGTACCGATCTTTTTGATGTTGTTAAAGGACCAATAACTAAAGCAGAGGGTAGTTTCGTTTTACAATGATACATTTGCATTTAATAGTCACCTCAATATCATCCTACACAATCAACACAAATATGTGTAAAATGTTGACATTTGTATATGTTTTATACTACTAAAACAGCCGATGCGTACAAAGTGCGTACAGGACATTTAAAAAAGATCTTCATGTTCATTTTATGTTTACCCATTAGTCCTCACTAAATTAGGAAAAGTCATGAAATACTAAGCAAAATAAATAATGTGAACCATTTTTTTAGATACGTTAAACATTGAATGGGGTCAAATTGACCCCCGGGATAACAGGAGGGTTAAGCTATTCAACTACTAGATGTTTGAATATGTTGTGAAAACAGAACCATGCAACAGTTAATATTCTTAGAGTAATATACATAGTAAACATTCGCTACAACATTAGCTGCATCATTTATACCCATATTTTACATTATTATCGTTATGGAAATATATAAATATAAACATAATATTATACTAAACAGTGGAAAAAGTCAGTCAGGTAGATTTTCTGTGTTTTTGGTGGAAGATGTTTCTGCAGCAGACTTCCCCTTCCCACTCACTTTGTCTTTTAGACATTGTTAAGGAGGATAGATGGAGGTGGTTCTCGAGAACAGGTGTCTTTAAAAAGCACACTGAACCACAGGTGACAGGAGAAGATGGAGGATAGCATGATTCAATGTTAGATCTGGCTGCACAAGAAGCCTTCCACCTACACTGCTCCTTCTGAATGTGTGATTGAGAATCTATTTTCTCTGATGATTTTCTGGCTCGCTGTGAACACAAAGCTATGGCTCCATTCGGAGTGGAGGCCTTGGCGAGGATCCTGGGACGTGCCGAGCGGAGGGAGGGTGTCTGAGTCTGGCTTGGCAGGGTGCTACCATTCTCTTTATACAGCCATGGGTGCTAAAGCGGTTAATTAAAGCTGCCAAGCAGGTATTTCAGGATTAGGAGTGGGTGTGTAGAGAGGGCTGCTGATGGCCGTCATATTGTGAGTAATACTGACTGTGAACACTTTATTGTGCTGATTGTGACTGTAAATGGAAAATGTTGTCATTCTAATAGCATTTATTTTATGGTATTTATTTATTTATTTTTTACAAAGGAGCACTAAGAATGTTTGCCAGTCATACATTCAATGTTGTAAAGTCCTCTTGCTGGCCAGAGTATAGTATATGGCCAGTCACGTCCGATCTGCCAACACTCTCACGTCATTCAAAAAAAGCCCTCAAAACTCACCTTTTCACTCTTGCCTTCAACTCCTAATCCTCTAACACCTCACCCCTATTCCAACTAGCTTTGCACTTTTTTTTCTTTACTTGCTTCTATAGCGCTTTCAGCACCAGAAAAAGCGATGTAGAAAAAACATGTATTATTATTATTATTATTAAACCCAAATACTTTTCATATTCGTTCAGTGACATGAACTTGCAGCAAAGCAGCTACAGAGAATACATTTTCAAAATGGACTAACAGTCACATTAAATCAACCTTTCACAGCTATGTCTCATTTCCTATTGTGGGTGTTGCCAGCTATAGTGGACCTCCGTGTTGACAGACTTCTACAAATCAAAGCATGTTCAGTGTAAAGATCAAGGGAGTTCAACTGGCTCTCCTGTGTGAACATGAATTAACTAGTACCTTTCTGTATCAGGGACATTGTCTGTTTTTCTCCTTCTTTCTCACTTTCCCACGCACACATACTGTTCCATCATCTCCCAAACATTCAGTCAATTACACACGCACGCACGCACGCACACGCACGCACGCACGCACGCACGCACACACACACACACACACACACACACACACACACACACCATATGGCCAAATGTCAGCCAGCTGCAAGACCTGGAGTAATGTCGTTGAGGGGCCTGTGTTGCAGAAAATAATAATGATCATGATGGGCTTTCTGGTCACAACACTGAGTTTCCTCATTGTGTACATATATGTGTGTTTGTGTGTGTGTGTACATGTGTGAGCGTGGGTGCTATGTGTCAGTGTGCAAGTTGACTTGTTATTCTGTACGTGTGTCCGTGTGTCACTCATCCGTGTGATAGATACTGAGCTGTCGTTTCTGTCAACCAGACAACAGTTCCACATGCATATTCATCGTTATGCTAATTCCCCCCCAAAGAGCTTTTAATGAGTTCACAACATTAACAACTTGGATGAACAAAAGCTTAGCAGCTTTTTTTTCCTGTAGTTCTCACTAAGAAAACCCCATCACAGACATCTAAAGACACATTTATACTACTACAAATATTGTGTACAGTAAATCCATGTGTGTAGGGGATGATAGGGTATTAAAACCTTCAGGCTTCAAATGGCTATTTAAAGTATTTAAGTTATAATTAAAGTGACCACCAGATGGCAATTTTATGAATCTGTGGTAATAAGCGGTTCTGTTTATTGTTGTATTTCCTATATAACACTGTAAGTGCCTAATAACTCTCTCAACATGACACATTTAAAGGGCAGGTTACTTTAAAATCAGCTTCTGACAAACACAAAGATAATGAGGTTAATCTGTCATCTAGTGGCCAAATTAAAAAGCAACATGAACGTTTATAAATGACTAAAACCTCTTTGTCATTAGAACAGTCTTTATTATTATTTTTTTGTTGTGATAAACAACAAAAATGAAGTGTTTTGTGTTATCACAGTTGTAACTACCTGTTAGCAAACTTGTGAATCTTATCTGGTGATTTGATTTGCAAAAGGTTTTTTCAATTACATTTTTCTATAGTTTTTCTCCATTAACTTTATCATAACATATATTATTTTGATGTAAGATTAGCTTACCTACAAGATCATGTCACTATTTGTCAATATTATATTCCCATACCAAAATATATCAGTATTTAAAAAAATATTCTGATACATTAACCAGATATGTATTCCAGCCATTTCACCAGTCTTTAATTTATGTCTTTTTCCATTACCATTCCATACATTTATTAAACTGAACCAATTGCGACATGTTGTCACTCATCACTTCTCGTCCCCCTTTTAGAGGATAAACACATGAATTAAAAGTATTCAGTTAATGTGAATGCATTCAGTAAGTCCTACCGTAATGTACCAATATAGAAGAATACCAGATTATACATTTACTGATTTGTTTCCTTCCCGATTGCATCTGCTGCATATCTGTATTCTGTATAATGTTACCTAATGCATTCACGAGCACGGATCAATGTGCCGTCAAATACATGCTGTACTCTCTCATGCTCAGTATACGTGGTGTTCAAACACGTAGCTATAGGAAGTTTGATGTTGATCTATGGATGTGGAGGATAAGCACGTTTTTGTAGTTATATTGTATGATATTCTCAAGGGACATCCAGTGCTCATTACTCAAACACATGGATGCATTATATTCGCTATCTCCATCTCATTTCCAGAGATTACCCTGTTGCAATTTATTCAATAAGACACGCTGGTGATGAGTCATACTGTATATCTGCAAGTTTTTTACTCATAAACATCTGACATCTTTTCTCCAAGAATAACATGTTGCATTTTACATGTTGCATGTAATATATTTCCACAAATACATGTTAAAGAGGTCTAAAATAACAAAACAAAAATAGTTCTTAAAAACAACACAGAAACATTTGAATCTAGAGCTTACTCCAGAACATCATCCAGTACAACATACTGCCATTTCACACAGATTAACAACCTTTTTCTTTTTTTTTTTTTTTTTTTTTTTTTAAAGGGGACCTATCATGCAAAATGCACTTTTGTACATCTTTTATACATGAATCTGTGTCCCCGGTGTTCCAGGGAACTCACCAAGTGTCAGAAAACACAACCCTCTCTATTTTCCTCCATACCCAAATCTCTAAAAAAGGGGCTGCAACGGATCTGATAAAAACTGATCCAGATTTGAACACTGTCCTGACGTCAGGACGGTGGCGCTACGGCTATTGGGCCAACTCCACCAATCAGGAGGAGACAACCACGGCATTGCCGTTCGAAAGCGCTGGAGACGCTGTAGTACATATGCCAGGCCTGTAGATGGTGCTGTTGCTCACAGAATCAACCCTTGCAAAAACAGAGCTATAAATTGTCAAATTGAGCGAAATGAGGCATGGCTAAAATGCATGATCTGTTTGGTATTTTGAAAAAGTATAAATAAATATGCCTTATATAGGTATGGTCCTACACTATATTATTCAAATATAGCATGATAGGTCCACTTTAAAGTAGCATTTAGTATTACTAGGTTGCAAAAGAAAGTAGCCGAAGTTAGTCGGACGATGGTCATTCTGTTTAAGTCTCAAACAGGCAACTCTGGTCAAAATGCTCTCCTTGTATCACGGTCAGATAATTATTAACTTCATTGAAGTTGCAATAAAAGAAAGGAGAGAAGAGTAGATTGCATGCAAAACTCTCACTTGTCCCTTTTTAAGTCTGAGGGGAAAGGAAAAAGAAATGGCTTCTACATTGGACTCTTTACAAAACAGTGAGAAAGGACAGAGTTATCTTCACAGAGGGAATAATTCAGACCACCTAGAATATCACTTTTTATATACTTCTTTATACAGCCCTATAATGGGAATACATTAAGTGAATAGCGCATTTTCATGATTCTACCAATGTACGATAAATGTATGTCGGTATGTACAATGCAAAAGGAAGTTATCAAACTATTCGTACTATAGTGTATTTTTTTTCTCCTATAAATAAAAACTATAAAATGAAAAATATATCGCATTTTGCTACAATGTTTCCTCAGTTAATGACTTATACTGTGACTTAAAATTATCATGGTCCTACATGGATAATATTACAAGTTGCAAAACCTCCTCTGTAGCCAGTATTTGCATGAAAAAAAATTGCTGCATATATTTTAAATCCTTTCATCGCATTAAAGGTAGTCATTGCGAATGCAAATAATCCAAAAACAAACAGATAAGTAATACAGGAAAATAGATTATCACTGAACACCTCTCCAGTGCTGTTTTCGCAATGCATGTAGCCCCCTCTTGTGGTCAAACTCTTACACTACATCTAATGCATTAAAAGGTAGAAAGGCTATTTGTGCAGGAGTGCTAATACCCACACACTAAAGGGGAGGATGAAGGCAAAATTTGATCAATCAATTTGTTGATTTCCAAGGCACCCAGCTCTATGATCAATATCTGAGACAGCGCTTGGAAAATAATGAGAAATTCAACACTGTGAAAAGTTTCAAGTCAGTGGCGGGTAATTCACAAAGTCATTCAACATCCTCTATATCAGGGTACTGTACAAAGTCTGTATAAAAAGAATCTTTATTTCCAGCACTCCTGGAGGTTTGTGTTTAGCGTTATCAATTGTAGAATTTGTAGTGGACATGGATTTGCATTTAGTTACATCTAAAACACACTAATCTGAGCAGGAATTGCTTTTGTTTAGACATAATAATTCTGTCTCTTTGACTGTGGCACTGTGTGGCAAAATGTTTCCACCTTTGTCCTTGAAACTGCTCTGAGATTGTGCGTTAGCGTTTCTGGTTTAGCAGGTTTCAAAGTCGCAGCTTGATGTTCCTTTTTGTTTCAACTAACCACCAAAGCAGACACACTTTGCCCAGGGTGTGTAAAGTGTCTAATATAATATTAATAACAAGAGTTTCTAAATCAAACAGTTCCTTTAACACCAGCAGCCTTTGCTCTCGTCGCTTGTTGCGCGTTCATAGAGTCCTTCTTCTTCCTCCAGAGCAGCCAGATTAATCTCCTCATTACCCGACATCCGGAGAAGATCCAGGTCCTTTTTGTTGGCAGCTAGAACCTGTTCAGCCAATCTTGTGAAAGTCTTGTAGGGAAATAGAAACACCATGATAAAGATAGATAAGTAGTTATAAGTAGATTATAGTTTCGTTTCTACTTCATCAAGGCCCCATAGCTCAGTGGTTAGAGCACTGGTCTTGTAAACCAGGGGTCGTGAGTTCAATTCTCACTGGGGCCTGAATAATTTAATTTAATTAACCGTACTCAATGCGTGCATGTAACCATGTAATTTCCTGCCATTATATAATCATGACTGCATTCATTGTTTAAACATTGTTGGAAACCTGTACATGGCTATATATCTTATTTAAACTCACCTCTGTTATATTATGGTTGGTGAAGGCACTTGTCTCAAAGAAGTCCATTCCATAAGCGTTGGCCAGCTGCAACATAAACAACAGTGACACATTTTACTTTCCTGAAAGAGAAATGTTATGCTTTGGTCTTTTTGAATTAGAAGCAAGAGAAAACTGACTCATTATTTACTTTCAAACAGGTCCACCTTGAATGGAAAATGTGTGTTGTAATGTGAGGCGACAGTAGTGAAGCATTAGTGAGTCTTTGTCTGAGGTCGGCTTAATGCTTTGGGGGCTTTAGAGCTGACACAAATGCCTGACAGAAACTAAGCCCAAAGTGTCTATGCAAGTATTGACACCAGAAAAGGATTATAAACGTTGAGAACTAAACATTTATTAATTAGCTTTTCGCAAAGCCCGGGGTAGGAACTTCTAGTAAGTCCAACATTACATTACATGTTACTTGTTAGACGCTTTTATCCAAAGCGACTTACATACATTCAGTACTGTGGACAATCCCTGCAGGAGCAATTTGGGGTGAAGTGTCTCAGGGACACAACGACATGCTGACTGCAGTGGGACTCGAACTTGCTATCCTCTGATTTGAAGTCCAGCACTCTAACCACTGAGCCACAGCTGCCCAACATTTTGGGAAAAAGGCTTATTGAGTTTCCTGCCAAGTCCAGATCGAGACCACTCACACAGAGAGACCAGGGAGGCAATTACCCTAGCTTAGCATAAAGACTTAAAACAGGGGTTGACAGAGTAACTTGTTGTATAAACAGCTGTGACTTTCACAAGCTTTTAGTTTAGCTTAGCTACAGTAAGGCTACTTAGCAATATTATCAAATACTGTTGTTTTAACTGCACATTTAAGCAGGATAAAAAAACAAGATACACTTTGGAAAACGAGTAAACTTCAGAGGTAATTATAGACAAAGCTAGAGAAGCTGTGTCTTTCTGTTTATGCTAAGCTAACTTTCTCCAGCCCTGTCTGAAATGCAGATGTGCAAGTGGTATCAACCTTTTCATCCACATTTGAAAACATTTTCTTACCTTCATTTCTTACAGAACACACTGAGCCTAATGGTTACACCCTTTTGGTGGAGAAAATCAGCATTATTATGACGTGTTTTAGAACATTATTTTTGCTGAAATAGTGACAACACAGAGCCAGTGTTTGACCCACCTTGATACCCTGCTCTGTGGCCACCTGCCTCTTGTCCACCTCGTCTGATTTGTTCCCTACAAGGATCTTCCGGATCTTCTCCGGGGCGTACTGCAGGGGTTTGTCGTGTGAACATAAAGAAAACCAGGGATATATAAAGACAAGCATGATATAAGGGTAACAGAGATAGGAAGAGAGATTTCAAATGTCAACAGAGAAGAGAAAACACAGCGCTCAGGAAATGAGACCTAGATTAAAAGTAAATGGGAACGTGCCAAAATAAATAGAGTGTATATATTCAGTCAGACCCAAAGAGGAAATTAGGTCCATCATGACTAAATTAATCAAATAAAATCATCTGGGAAATGTCAGGGAGAAGCAGGCCAGACGATGAGATTGCTTTGTGAAGACTCAAAGTCAATAGAAAAATGGGACAAAGCAAGATGATAAAATGTTCTCCATCCAATATGTATGACTACACTTTCAAATGGTATTTGAAAATGAAGATGGGGTACGATAAAAACAGCACAGCCATATCCGTCAGGTTGTTTTTTATCCCACCACGTCAGACATCTGTTATTTGTCAACCTGAGGCCTTTTCACAGTGAGTATTCGTGTCAGTTTTGCTCTTTTCGATAATGCAGGAAAAAAAAAAAATCCCCAATCTCTGTGACTCACCTCATCCACATCACTGGCCCACTTCATGATGTGCTGGAAGGATCGCTCACTCGTGATATCATACACCAGGAAGATTCCCTGAAGAGAGATGTTTAAAAAAACAAAACAGATGAGAACCAGTGTACTATCGAGTTAAAAGCAGCATTTCTAAATCAATACATCTGCAAACAATACCACGATTCCTGTAAAAAAAATCCAGACCACCACTTAGGAAGTTGGCAGCCTCGACCAACCATTTATTTTACATTGTTAGCCACCGGCTGAATGAAAATCTGCTGAATTACTTTATCGCACTAAACAGGAACAGAACAACATTTATAAGGTCGTTTCTGGTAAACGGACAATTCAATTTCAGCAAAGGCATAGTTCATACACAACAATGTCAGAGTGTTGGTGGTTGTGTTTGGCAAACATCTTCGTCACTTACAATGCCAACGCTGGGATATACAATACTTTCACAATGTGGATGGTTTAAAGCGTTAAAAACTTTAAACCAATAGATGTCCTTTTAAAGGTCCCCTATTACACTGTTTTTCATCAATATATTATAGTTCTCAGATATATACAAACATGTCTCTGAAGTGTTTGGCCTCTAAACACCAAAGAGATCATTGCAGCATCCCATAATCCCCTCTGTTTCAGCTCTGTTTCAAAAGTGCTGATTCTCTGTCTGTTACTTCAGATGAAAATAAGGAGCCCCTCCCCACGCCCCTCTGAGAGATATTTGGTTACAAAGAACACAATGGTGCTCTAGGAGGAGACTCAGGTGATAAGGTGGGGGGGGGGTTACCTTGGTTGCTGATTGGCTAATGGTTACACAAGCCAAAACATTTGTATGACATCATAAAGTGGCCAAAATCTGATCAGCTCATTTTCAGACAGGTTTTTATATAAATGGATCAGGACAAAAAGAGAGAGAATCTTTGTTCCTGAAACTTTCAGAATCTCGTTACACAGAGGGGACACATGTTGATGTAGAAAAGACATGAACAAGTGGATTTTGCATAATAGGTGACCTTTAAAATCAACTTAATGGTTTTCCAAAGTGTTGCGCATGAATTATTCCAGACAAATTGCTGTAACAAATTCAATTTCAGAGATAATTGTGATTTAATGTGTTATGTTACCGTGGCTGTAGTGATTATATGTATTCAACTTTCAGCAGCAGAGTGATGGAGGAGTGCTAAAGGTCAACTACCTGGGCTCGTCTGTAGTACTGCTTAGTGATGGTCTGGTATCTCTCTTGGCCTGCAGTGTCCCTGGAAAGACAACAAGTATAAATAAACATAAACATACAAAATATATATATATGAGATTATAATATGACAACATGACTCTGGGCAGTAGCCAGTACACCAGACACCTAAAATGTTTAATTATTAAGATGTTCCTTTCAATGAGCAGTCTTAGGCATGTACTGCATCTCCTTAATATTCTTTTTCATGATGGATTTAAAATATATTTGACCTATTTCTTTCTGAATTTCCAACATCATTATCTCAGAATTCTAGGACACGTTTGATAGGAAAACAGTACTGCCCTGTTTTTCTAAATTAATGAGACTCCAAAATCCTATGAGAAGCTCTGAGCTTCATAGAGTACAGTTTCTGCTGCTAATCAGCCAGACCCTTCAATAGCATTATAGTATGGGATTTATACAATAATAAAATAACAATACCTACTATATAAGACACACGTATCTCCCAATGTCTCAAAGACAAAACAAATCTAAATAGTGATTGAACCAATCAAATGGGACATATTTGCTTTCATGAAATGGAGCTCTCAAGTAATTCAGAGGTCTTTTGGGGATATTGAGGTATTTCAAATCTTAAATCAAGTGACATTTCTGTCGGTTCACGACTGAATACCTGCAAAAAAAGACATTCCTATCCCCCTCATCTGTACTATGTGGTTTAGTTCTGATTACCAAACGCTTACAGGCTAAACTGAGACGGTAAACACGGTAAAACTTGCATTTCTTCTCGTCACAACTACATTATAATTAAGTTGAGACAAAAATATCATGGTTCTAGTTTTTAAAAGCTAGCCTAAATTAAAGGTTTTTTTATGAAGGGACACAGACTCCAGTCTCCTGCATGAAAGCATTATTATTTAAATGTCCTAGACTTGGTGACATGTTAACGTATTAAGTCTAAAACTACTGGAGTGACTTAAAAATCCTCTGGGTTTCAAAACAAGTAAAAAATACAAAATACAAAAGGCATGACCTCACTGTTAGTAATGGTATCTATTGCCTTTATCAAAACTACTGTTGTGTAATATCCTTTAACAAATGTTTAATATCCTGCACAATACCTTCCATCCAATATCTTACCATATCTGTATCCGTACTTTGATACCATCTATTTCTAGAGTCTTCATTTTGAAGTCGACTCCTGTAGGAGAGAAAACACACAGGTAGTAAATATGCCATCCACAGAGGGGCTCTACATGTATTTGATGTGCTGTGCTTAGACCAAGGCGTTTACACTTTCCACTCAATAACTGAAATCAATTATCCGGGTGTGTTTTTTTGAACAGGTAGAGGTTCACTGGTATCTGCTGCAGTAACATCACAGAGAGCATTAATGCATTGAGACCCAATCACCTCTGTATAATCTGCCTGTTAGAGGATAGGACTAATGATCGGGTGATTCTGTCCTCGTTTAGTTCAGTCTTTTGCATTGATCACACAAGAGGAAATAAGGGAAAAGGGCAACGACAACAAAAAACGATAGCGTAGCGCTGCATAACACCACAGAAGAAGAGATGAGAGAAGCTGAGATGGGGAGGGGCTCGCTCACACCTCACTGATCTCTGTTCTATTTCAGACGGCTGAGTGTGATATTGTTTATAGGCAGAAAATAACAGGCAAGACTCAACCACTTTTGCAGTGAACAGAGAGAGGTTGCTGATATTTAATGTGTTCTGCTTATTACGCTTTTACTACGTGAAGTAAATCTACAGTATATATTGTTGGTTTCCCTATTGTTATATGTTATCAGGGTGGGGAAAAGACCAAAAGAGTATTTTAACAAAATATAAATGTACCTTTTTATGTATATATTTGATAAACTTAGCTACGGTAGCTAGCGTTAGCAAAGCTAAAAGGAGTGTAAACAATGTTGAATTAGCGAGATTTGCTAAGAAAAGGAGAGAGTTGTTTGAGCTGTACCAACATGCGATTAGATTTTCAACGTGAAGTTAACTGAAGTGATAAAGAGTTTAACAACATTGACAAATATATACCAGCAGCATAGATATCACCGACTTGTCTGGAGGTCTTTCGGAGGAGTATTTTCTGCATACAAATGTAACCCTTTCACCGTGTGTTTCCAGGTCATGAAAGTCATTTTAGTCCGTTTTTTTTCCATTTCAATAAGTACGTTCAACCATTAACTCTGCCTCTATTAAAGTCTTTATATCTTGTCTCTTGTGTCCATGACTGTCTCCTCAGACTAAATCGATAATGAGCAAAACCACAGGCTTCAAGACCACACTAATCCCCGAGAAATCAATTAACAGTTCATCCCAATTAAACTGACATAATCACGCTCCGAGGAAGAGAGTCCAATCGATTGAGATAACTGGAAGAAACTGCAGTTTGTGGTTTTAACTTTTTACAGCTGCGTTTCTGCAGGGTTTGTCTTTTAAGAGACTGACATAAAGAAACTGCTGACAGAGCGGGGCTGATGTTAGTCACTGTGCTTTTTTTTTATAAAAACAAGCTGGAGTAAAGCGAAGACTCCACGGAGCTCACTGACTTGACAGCATGAGGCCTCATTTAAGTCGTCAGGCGGTCTATGGCTTTGACTAGAGAGCATTCACACTAAAAGGTCAGCATAACAATCAGTGGTCTGCCTTGCCTGAGGCTGCAGAGGAGAGAGGAGATGGTGAAAAAGAGGCTTTCTTCTTGCGTTATTGTCCAGCTGTATTAGCACTGTACAAAAGACTAGTCTGGAGTGATCAGTGCAAACAGGACTGATTTCAATATAAAGTACAGACATGGACTAATGGATATTCCAGCTGTACAGTAAAATTCTGTCTACAACAAGGGTGACCCACTCTGGAAACCTGAAAATAAATCAAGATGTCTCCAAAGCCAAGTCATATGATGAATAAATACAACTCAGCAGTAAGCCTCTCTTACATTTTGAGAAATATTTACAAAAACAAAAGGTATTTCAGTCCCCACTGTCTGCGTCCTGTTGATAAACAAATATATTGTGTAGTCGCCAATCTGAATACATTGTTCTATAAAAGCCGAGGAAAATGGGCCTGTTTTGTAGAACCAGGTGCTCTCTTAACTAAAAAAATGCAAACAAAAATAATTACCCAAGGGCTGTCGTGAAGGTCTAACTCTGTCTATTACAAGTTAATTATTTAAATTGTTCTGGGTGCTTCCATCACAACAGCAGAACACTTGCTGCACAATTTCTCAACCTGCATGAGAGGATGTGTAGAAAGTCTTAATTGCTACTGTGTTTAGAGAGATTACAGGTGTGTGCTCTGCAGCCATTCAATAGCAACCTTCATTAATATGGTGCCTGTATCAGGAATAAGTCAGACAGGTCTGCAAGGGAACACAGTGTCTACGTTAATATGTATTGTGAACATGTCAATTCCAAGGTGATGTCTTTAAATGCCTTGTATGCACAATCCAAAGATATTCAGTTAAATATGATACGAAGCAAAGAAAACGTGAAAATATTTGAGAGGGTCAGGGAAAATCGAAGTATAAGAAACAATGAATTTGACACCCCTGCCCTGTAATTTGTCAATTTTTAAGAATAATTCAGCTGTTATGGCTTTCAGAAAGGTTCCCTCTTCTCTTCTTAGAGTAAGGAACCGTGACAATGGAGACAAGCACAAAGAGCAAGGACTGACAGCAGTTAATTTAACATGGCAGCCTTTAACAATCAGCAGTGTGAAAGCCATGTAAAAACTAATGGGTACACACCCAAAATTGATTTGACAAATTAGCAGGATGACTGTGTTCGACTACGCAAGACGGATTAGGCGGTGACACGTGTCAGTGTGCTGTAGGTAATGACGACAGGCTCACTAATGGATGGACGGATGGATGCTCTGCCTCTGACACAATTTCACTGGGGAATAAGTCTGAGATCCATGACTATCATCACAAGCCGAGGACAGCCAACAACCGTCAACAGCTGCTTTCTTTAGAGCACAGCAGGACAGGTTTTCAATCATGACCTTTTTATCAATCTTGACTGAACAATTAAGCGTTGTATTAACCTCCTGTATTGGATGGAAATGGAAATGACTCTTTCAAAAGGGTGAAACCAAATGAACACAGAAGAGTAGACCATCAGTAAGACAATTCCAAATCCATGACTACCAGTACAGAAAACGCCAAAGATATATATGTCTGACATAATATAATATAACAAGAGATCTTGAGGAGTGCTACTGCATATGTTAAGGTGTGTAAAGTGTGTCGTGGCTCCAGAGAATAGGCTTTGTAAAATAAATGGGTGTACTGAATGTGATGTCCCATTGGTTTTGAGACGACGGTATAAAACCTCTGCATTTGTTTTTTAGTCGTTGCCATCTTGTTTTTTGGCATCATAATTAGAGGGAGGATCGAGCCAAGTATAACTGAACACTGAACATGAAAACACACTGTTAAAGGGTTAAAGTTGTTCATGGAAAACACAGAGAGCACCCAAAACTAGGAAACAGTGTGAGAGCCACATGTCAATCACACAGTAGCCACGCCCTAAAGCATATCTTTATCCTCTATTTCAACATAAATGGCAGCACGAAAACTTGCTCTTTTAAGTAAGACTTTAAGTGACTGATAGCCTTAACCATAAACTCTTTAGGAAAATGCTAACAGAGTAATAAATCATGTGAGGAGTGGGGTCATTTTCTGATAGACTTCTATAGACTTATGTTTGCAGCTTCCTGGCCATCAGAAAGAATACAGGTTTAGGGCACTCCTACATTGGCTTCACTTTTCAGACCGCAAGTTGTCAACTTGATGTTCAACTAAAATGTCCAGATTTGGTCGGGCTACAACTATAACTTTCAGAGATATAGGACACTTTTTTAAGTTCCTAGAAAGCCAGGAGGAAATCAATGCTATGACAGCACCACTGATTTCCCTGCTTACACTTTATGAGCTCCATGGAGGCTGTGAACCGACGCACGGCCCTTGAGACTCGCCAAGCAGCCAGGTGGGCTGAGTGTTTGACCAGGCCGTGACCATAGCACCACTGAGACCACCAGCATGAAGACAGCTGCTGATAGAGCTGTGATATAGGGCAGGGCCGGGCTCGAACTTTATGGGTTTTGTGACAGCCAGGATCTCCGAGGGCGAGGGGAGAGGTAACGGAGAGGAAGATTAAACCCAGCAGTGTGACTGAATAGCATTAATAAATCATCTCTACAGCTGCTCTTTGCCAGAGAATGTGTTCTGAGTGAGGGTGTATTATCCGTCAGGTAAGATCAGAATTCCTGCTGCCAATGATTCTGGACTAGTTAGATTTTCTGACACTGAAGGGTTAGGGAGTAAAAGTTTGATTAGTTAAGTTTTACTGAGCTGTAACCAGGGAAGAAGTCCTTTTTTAAGCCAGGTGTGCTTTTTTTGGTTAGTGCCCAATGAATATTCAAAATGCCTTTGTGACTCAGCGACGGTGGATTTGAATGAAGATCTCTGCAGTTTCTACTCTTCATCTTGTGTGGGAAATGTTTTGATAGTCTGAACACAAGCCCAGAACATCCTTCAGATTTTAAGAGGATTACAGAAAGAATGTAGAAGTCTGCAAGGTTAAACTATACCGTAACTTGTTAAGACTGTTAACTAATGTAAAGTGTTCCCATTGATCTGTCATCGAATGCCAAAAGACAACATGAAAATGCATTCATGTACATCACAAGGATCTTAAAGAAAAGGTTTCCTGAGTTTGGTGAAGACCTTGAAGGGCCTGCAGAGCCTTTAACTCAACACCTTCCAACACCTTTGGGATGAACTGAAATAATGTTCCTGTGGCTGAAAGGGAGCGAACCCTTCATCCAGAGTTCAAAATCCTGTACAAAGTGTTGAAAGAAGAGTGAAGGGCCATGGTTTTGGAATAAGATATTCATCAATCACATAGAAGTAATGTTTGATTGTCCATAATATAGTGAATCTGCGTCTAGTTATCATCCCACTGCTGGCTGAGTGTATGAATTTTTGGGGTTTATTATTTATATGCTAATCTGCAGGAGATGCTAAATAAGACTCCCATCAGCTTTTCATCCTCTGATGTTTACGGAAAAACCTGCTTTGATTACAACTCTCTATGGGGTGCGGGATTTTGAGATAATTAAGAGAAAAACCTGAGCGAGTGGACTGTGTCGGAAACGGATGAATTATTGAGCTTCCCATGAGGGGGACATTGGAGAGAATTTATATCCCTCTGTCCCCATGAAGGTTGGGAAATTATGTATTGATTCTCCTCAGGAGAGCACAGGCGGTGGTCACTCTTGATCTCTCTGTCTCTTTAGATTTTGTTAGGCTTGTTTAGTCTGAAGAGGAGTTTGAATTATCGCATGGCTGTGAAAAGACCTCCCAGGACGGCTTACAGACACAGTCCGCTGCCCTCAGTCCAATACAAATATCTAGAATCCACCGCCGGCACCGACACAAGAGACGGATTTATAAGCATCCAGCTGTGGTTGTGAACACTCGGTAACAAAAGCACAAAAAGGTTCACTACATGCAGACAGGCTGGACCTTTCTTGTTAGAGACATTAGAAGGGCTTGGAGTTATATGAGCTCGACTCCAAGGGGCGGAAGTGTCCTGTAGAGCGCTATAGGTGCTTGACTTAAAATAGCATACTGCAGTGTAAGTAAGCCTTATGAGCTGCAGGTTGGAGCATTGGGCACAATAAAAGCCTTTAAAGTGCAGCGTGATGAACATAAAACTTGAGTTTGAGCATCGTGCTGTGGCTGTGAAGTGTTTTGTCCACTGAGCACTCAAAAAGCATGAAGACTTTGAATTCAACATTAAAGCTTCCAAATGATGTTAACATGAACAATTAATGGTGGGATTGTGTTATTGTTGTCTTTTCTGTTATGTTTCCTGGACCCATCTGTCAGCGTCATGATTTATCTTCTTGACCTTATTATGACAACATGTTACAGCATATCTCTCCAACAAAAAGTCATCTATCCATCACGACCATGGAGGAACGTTTCCTGACTTTGCCTCGAGCCTGTCTGCGTTTCGTCTTCTCCACATCACGGCCAATTACTGCACACAGCACAGAAACAGCAGCTTTGTTGCCACAGGAGAAGAAGAAGAGATAAGTGACACAACCACCGCTTGGAAAGGAAAGAAAAACACTGCTTACTGTACATCCTTATTTCCAACACCTCAAAGTCAGAATGGTAATGCGCATATCATCCCCTTCACTGAATCCTAACTATGGAGGTAGATATACTGCACAGCCCGCCTTCCTGTAACTGTGAAAAACAGGATGGTTGCATGTGGCAAATCCATGATTAAGGGTGGGCAGATAAAGTGTTAGTTTGCTCTATGTACTCTGAATTAAAAGAGCAAGGAACTGGACGTGTTTCCTTTGTTAATTGAAAATGTTGGTCAATGTAATTTGAGAAAATAGTAAAAAAAGGCCAACAATAGTTTACCAGATCTCAAACCGATGCCTTTAAATTGCCATTGTTTACTGCATGGATATATGGGAATATGAAAATAAACTTCAATCACAACATCATATTTATTCCATAATTATTGAGCATGAAATAATTGAAACTAGGTCAAGGTCTCCTCAAAAATCTCTTTAACAAAACCACACCGAGGACCTTTATTTAACCAAATGTGGCATGGCACTTGCTTACACTATCAGTGCCAGATGATGATAGTTGGTGTAAACTCATCTGCATGGCTGCCAAGTGTTAGATATTCCCCCTGAGGGCTTCCCCACTTAATGCAATTAAGCTGGTTTTATAGATAACACTCTGTTTATTTCACGTAATGTGCTGTTCTAGTTAAATGTGAACAATTCCTTTTTACATTCCTTATCACATCTTAGTTGTGGGGTTTCAATGATAATTGCAATGGCTACAAAGGGAGGTTGATGCGCCAATAACATCAACAGAAAACGTTATAAAACCATGCAAATGAATGGGATTGTTAATTAACACATGTGGTGAATAAGGATCCAGAAATAAGTCATGGAGTTAGTGCAGAGTCTTACCGATGGTCGAGATGTGAGACGGGTGAAATTCGTTGTCCGTGAATCTGCATAACAAACATGTTTTCCCAACCCCAGAGTCTCCGAGGAGCAGGAGTCGGAAGAGCACATCGTACTGCTTAGCCATAGTGTTGGATGTAATGTTGAATTAAAAAGAAACCCCAGTCAGCTAAGTCAGCGATGGATGACCGATCCCTCCCCACCTGCATCCCATGTCTGCTCAAAAACTCAACATGAGGCTCTGGCTCCTCGCTTCTTTGTGTTCTCTGACGCTGGGTCGGTATGTGACGAGGATGCTCCAGCTTCACAGGCAGCCTCTAGCTCCAGTGGGTGCGGTGGACCAGTGTCAAGTAAGACCCCATCAAAAAGAGGATTTCCGGTGGTGCATTTCAACATAAAAGCCTTTAGTGTTTGAGAACATGTTGGTTTATTTAGTACAAAGAAGGGATATTCGATTGATGTTTTTTATGACTTCAAGATTGTCATGATAATGTTAATAACTATTTTCACATGTGGAATTACTGAATGCCTGAAACAAAAATTATTAGTAAAATGTAAAAAGTATTAGCATAAATGTAGCCTACTTTAAGTACAACATGTGAAAGTACTCACTTTAAATAATGTAGCTTAGAAATTCCACCAATGGATCAATTACGTTTAATCTTTAATCCTATTCTATTCATATATCATCAAAATATATCATATATCATCAATTATCATATTTAATCATTATCATATTTTGGATCATTAATCTGAAACGTCAAAGTAACTGAGCCATCACATAATTGTAGTGGAGCAGAAGTATAAAGTACCAAGAATGGTACACACACACACACACACACACACACACGGACACACACACACACACACACACACACACACACACACACACACACACACACACACACACGCTGTATTTAGTCAAATGCATTATAAAGAACATTTGTCATGTATACAATTAGTATTTAAGGCCTTAAAACATTATTTAAAATAGTGGCTATCCTACCTGAAATAATACTATACCCTGATGATTCAGGTGTTGCAATAAGACGATGGTTTTCAAAGAAGCCATGATCCAGTGATATGAGACTTCAGGGCCCCTAATGTTCTGGGGCTGCATAACACTTAAATGTTGTGTCTGGTTGGCAGTCATACGTTTCCAAATATATGAAAACAGAGATTTTTATTGAAGTGAAAGGTTTGTTACTTTTCGGAGCAACTTTGAGCTTTTAATTTGAAGGATAAGTCAAACTACTTCCGGTACTTGTTTGTTGTTACTTGATGCAGATCAACGGAAGAACTACCGCGTGTGGTGGCATTGCTTCTTTCGACGTCAATTTAACAACACCAATAGCAGAATATGAATTAAACAAAACGGGACACGAACATTGGCTCACCCATAATTTAATAATATTTAATAAAACTCACATGAAACACTTACAAGCGGCTGTGTGTGTTACTTTGCTGTTTCTCGCACTACAGTGACAGACTGAGGTTTTTGTTCCCTTGGACACGCCGTAGCTGGCGCTCGCGCAGTTTCCGCCCCCCCTGCAACCTGAGCAGGAAGTGAGCGGAGCCAACTGACACTAAACTATCAAAACAAACCTACAGCATCGTTTTTTAAAACTTGCAGCATCCCCTGCAGCTGACGGATCATATCATCATCATCATGGACGGTGTACCGACGCCTCTGCGGTGCTTCAATGAGTATAATTCCGCAGAAATGCTGGTGGATGACGGGGTGGAGACGGTGACTTCAGTGGAGCAGGTGAGCACAGATTAGCTCCGTAAACTAATGTGGCTAATGCTAATGCTGCAGCTACTGAGTGTCACATCAATTACACTCTCATACACTTAATTTCTATACTCTTGCTTTCATCGGCCCTTCGTTTAGACAAATGATCGGAGCCTGCTTTCCAGTTAGCAAGCCTTTAAGTAGCTAGCATTGAACCTTAATGAGATTATGCATTCATTGAGTTAGCTCTTAACTAAGTAACTTAGACAGTTAAACCTGAGTTCCCCCCACACCTATAACCCTTGACTAGACTCAGAGGAAAAGATCTTTGTAAATTAACCTCAGAGGTGGAAAAAGTACTCTACATAAGCAAAAGTAGAAGTACCAGAGTGTAGGAATACTCTGTTACAAGTAAAAGTCATGCATCAAAATGTTACTCAAGTAAAAGGACAAAAGGATTAGCATCAAAATATTCTTAATGTGCCTACGAGCATAATGCATACAAGTAAAAGTATACATTATGCAAATTTGCCCATTTCAGAATAATATAAATAAAGGTGCAGTTCATTTGAATTGCTTTGTATACTGCAGGGTGAATGTTGTGAATGTTACTCCAGGTGTAACTAACGTCTTATTTAGTAACTAACTAAAGGTAAAAAATAAATGAATTGTAGAGTAGAGCAGACGTACAAAGTAGCAAGTAAAGTAAAGTACAAGTCCCTCAAATGTGTACTTAAGTACAGTACTTGAGTAAATCGACTTAGTGACTTTACAGCACTGATTAACCTTACATATATGTCATGGTCTTGATCTATCGTTAGTGTGTGTGGTTATATTCATCCAGGCCAGTAGCAATTAAGAGACCCCTGAAACCAAAGTGACATTCCAGTTGAGCTAATAAAGGTCACAAACAGGATTAGCATAAATATGATTGTGTTAACCTTTCATATTTATAAGGGACCATGTTGTCAAACATCTGTTGAGGTTAGCTCAACAGCTCATTTGCATCCATCAGCTGATTAGTACCAACATACTGCCAAAAAAGTTGAATGTAATAATATTAATTATGATATTAAGGTTTTTAAACTGTAAGTAGTGTTTAACATGCATGCTTTTTTATATTCTTTCTCTCGCAATGACCTTTATATTGACTGTTTTCACTCTCCTCATTCCACTACTTTTCTTTTCCCCAGAAAAAAGTGGAACGCAGCATTAAAGAAGTCGTCAGTGTTTACAAGCAAATGCACAGCTTACCACAGTAAGTATCCAGAAAAGAAAGTATTTGTGCAGCTTCAGCTGACGTTTCTTAATTAACAGCGATTAGGTTTGGTTTTTAATGCTTTTCCATTAAGTCTCAGTTGTTTTTGCATCAGTGGTTGTGACGATGTTATTCACTGCTTACTGCTTATTGAGATATAACTGACATCTAACAAGAAAGTATTTTTAAGGAAATATTTATTTACAAAAACGTTGCCCTGCAGATATTATTAAAATCTTATATATTATAATATATGTATTGTAAAATAACCTGAAGAACATCCAAGCCATTGTTGTTCTTTAATGGATTGATATCATAAGTATGAATGTATCAAGTATTGTATTGCATTAGGGTCTGCTGCAGTGATTTACACTTTTAAATTTTGTTTTACTTTACAATGTAAATGCTAAATCAGTGGAGTACATGTTTTAAGAGATTCAGAACTGCCTTGTCTGATTGTATAGAAAGGAAATTAAGTTGCTTTTCTTTTTCTACGACATGTGTTCAGATAGTAGTGCAACAAATGAGGGAAATCAGGACACTAAATTGGCCTGACCTGAACTCAGTAAATCATAAAAAACATTATAAATAAAATAAAAACTGCCCTTTAAAACCAGCGGTATTTAATTGGTCAGATAATTTGTGGCTTTAGTTAGGATCATTATCTAATCACAGGACTCATAATTTAGAATACACTGGCTGCCATTAGAGCCGTGCTCATTGGTTGTTTGTATCTCCCCCACCTGCTGTTAGCCTGTAGCGCCGGCTGCACGGTGATGTATGACGGCTGTTTTCTAATTGGTTTGTGGGTCAGCCCACATACTTTGCTGCTTCTATCAGCTGTCATCGGCCTCTTCCTAGTGGGGTGACTCTCATTTCATTTCTATGACAACTGCGTGGACCTGCATCACAGCCAAAGGGAAAATGTACTACAAGTAAATAAGCAGTATTTCTCAGTAGAGGTCCTGCAAGTAGAGATAATGTGTTTCTGTGTGGCGTGGACTACAGAGGGTTAGTTTTCATCTTTTTTGGATTGTAGTTATATGAAAAGGTTATGAGGTTAATTGCAGACATAACACATGAAAGGAAAGCGTCCAGGCTCTGGTTATTTCCTGACATTTTATCAGTTTTATTTTTACATGTAACTCATATTTTCCACCCACATCTGCCAGATCAAATATGGATTATCATGAGAATCTTACAAAAATAAACACTTGGGCAAACAGACTTTATTTCAAGTCTTTTAAAACAAAGCAGTTGGTAAGTGTGTGTGTGTGTGTGTGTGTGTGTGTGTGTGTGTGTGTGTGTGTGTGTGTGTGTGTGTGTGTGTGTGTGTGTGTGTGTGTGTGTGTGTGTGTGTGTGTGTGTGTGTGTGTGTGTGTGTGTGTGTGTGTGTGTGCGTGTGTGTGTGTGTGTGTGTGTGTGGTGTGTGTGTGTGTGTGTGTGTGTGTGTGTGTGTGTGTGTGTGTGTGTGTGGTGTGTGTGTGTGTGTGTGTGTGTGTGTGTGTGTGTGATGAAAGCTACTGAGGAGCACGCTGACATTCTAATGATAAAAGAGAACAGTGTGTGACTTTTCTATCTATTGCTCCCTGCGTGGGATCAACAATGTTCTTTTATTTTTATTTCATGTTTGTTTTTATAAATACGTTTATATGATAGATGGATTTATGCCACATAGGAATAACCCAGGCGAGACAGCAATTCTGAAATTGAAGTGTGTTGGATTTTATATTCCTTTTTCCTTTTTGTTCCTAATCATCATTTCCAAAAATATTTACATGTATTCTTTTTTTGTTGAATTTATTTTGAATAGATAATATTTCTAAAAAGCCGTGTGAGTGAGAAGTGAGCTGAGAGAAGATGATGTGTTAGAAACTGAACATGAACATTAATGAAACAAAAAACGTTTATCATTTTGTGTTATGACTTAAAGGTGGGGTAGGTAATTTTGGAGAAACCAGCTTGAGTGCGCTAGAATTTGAAAATACACAGCCGGAAGAAATCTGCCACTTCCTTACAGAGCCCCTCCTCCAACACACACGAACGCGCACTTGACCAATGAGGGCACGAGATAAGTTTGTGCACGAGATGGAAGGCTGACAGGCAGGTAGGCCATCCAGTTATTTTAGCCGGGCCGGCTAAAATGATTAGTCGTGCTTTTTACAGTACTACGGCTTCCACAGATTAAATATTTGTATGGATTTTTTGTCAAAGCACTTAAGATATTCATTGCTATCGGGATGTTAAGAGCATTCCATGGAATATAACAAAAAGTGTATCTCGAGCCGGT